AAGTCATCAATCGGTGGAGTATTATGACAAGCAAACAAAACATCAAGACGCGGAGAAGAGTCAGCACAAAACTAATAGGTCAAAAGACAAAGCTGTCTCGCACTACCTAGAAAAACTTGCGAATGTTCGAAGTACAGGTACCCATTGGACAAAAGATGCATGGAAGTTTAGCAAACTATCTCCCCGACCCAGTGCAATGTATTCGGTTAGAATCAAAGCTCACGTGTCCCTTATTTGAGGGACCAAATTCTGCCGTAAATTCGCCCTTGGATTAAAAAATAAAATGGGATTTAAGAAAATAAAATGGGACTTTTAAGGTGTATTTTGGCGTCATTTTTCGGACATTTCAATCAATCCTGCCGGCTAAAATAGAGTCTAAGTTTTACCGTAGTCATTGACGTTTGTCTATTCAAGAGTACATGTGTATGATTTTTATCGTGACTAGCGTGAGCGGGTAAGCTTCCTTTCGAGAATGAGCTGTTATCACTGTGAACAATGTTAAATTATTCTTCAGATGACCAGTTTATTTTTTAAAAACAACAAATTTTTTTATTTAAAAAAAATCATGCCGTTTTCGCATCAAAATCCAAGCCAAAACATCGTACTACAACACCAATCTCTTCCGCATTGCGTTCAATAACATTAACATATTTAAATAAGCTATGGTAATTTGAACACGTTGGCATCATCCAGCTTTTTGATTGGTTAATTAGCGATTTGACCTATTTGACCTAAGAGAACATGGCGGATATCCTACAGCATCAAACGTTTATACGAGACCGGAATCATTCGCTTACTTTTATTTGTATTTCATAACCATTCAACAAATTTATTTTGTGTACATTATTATAATCACTACTGAGTACAGTAATAATCAACAATTCAGAAACGCAGCATGCCGAGATTTTTGTGTTCGTTTTTATTTGAAACTTCGTTTATTTAGAATATATTTTCGTTACCAATAAAATAAAAATCTCTCAGTCAATCAGAAACCCGGATTCATGCCTTCGAGGAAGGTCCCGTTTGAACGCTCACATCGTTTTTTTTTCGTTTGTGGGAAAACTAAAACTGGTCGCAATTTTCGAATAAGAATGAGTCGTCAATTTTTAGTGGAATCGAAAATTTGGAGGTAAATAAAACACCGAAACCCGGCAAATAAATAGGCGATCGAATTTTTAGAGGGGTCGAAATTTTGGAGTTTTCACGGTACTAATTATTCCATTTCAATGAAACTTAGTATAAAGATGCTCTAGGACAATGTACAAACCTAATTAGTTTGGGGTAAAAATCTGTTCATATTAATTCCCTAATAAGCATAATAATTCATAATTTTTTGGTTCTAATCACATTTCAATTAAACTTGGAGACATAGATTTTCTGTTACATTGCGCAGACCTCATTAGTTTTACACTCAAATCTGGTCATATTAATTTTCTGATTTGCATAATTAGTTTTCAGCTAAGTAATTTCGAATTATATTTAATGTGTCTCCAATACTCTCAGCACATGGGAGTTCTTTCTAAGCTTTCTTTGATTAGTCCCTGTTCGGACGAAATCCGAAAACGGGGACTTTTAATTCAGTCTCCGTCCGGAGTCATATTTCATAATCCTTTGGACCGATTACGTTCATTTTTTGCATGTGCCTAGTACTTTATGTGGACGTATGCACATGCAGTGGTTTAGCGATTCGATTCAAATTGGTAGACTGGCAGCCAACTTGTTTTTTGAAAATGTTGTATTTTGGACATGCTTTGTCAGTTTTCATTCAAATTTGGTACATAGATTATACATGTTAGATACATGTCCTCCGCCCGTCCGTGCATCCATCCGTCGGTCTGTGCGTTGTTTCTTGGAGCGACGTTTCTTTAAACTAAGATCGTGCATAGTGAGTATGATAAGAGCAACTAGAATTGTAAAATG